ATGGATGGTGAGACTTTGTCTCATGGTACTTTGGGCATGTTATCAGGAGGGGGTCCTGGAGAAGGGCAACATGTTTGCTAAAGTGGAAAGTCAGCAAAAAAGAAAAAAAGGAAGACTCTCAAGGATGCAGATTGACACAGTGGCTACGACAATGGGCTAAAACGTAACAACAATTGTGAGACTGATGCAGGATCTGGCATTGTTCCATTCTGTAGTACGTAGGGATGGTATGAGGCTGAATTGACTCCATGGCACCTAATAGCAACAGAGACAGCTCATCTGTGCCTTCTAGGGTTGAATAAATTAAGGATAGTAATAATGGTGGAAGAAATGAACTAATTTCTTACTTCTGCTTCCTGTCCTGAGAGCAAAAGAGTTGGGGCCAAAAAGGGAGGACAGGGGAAAGAAGGTAGAGAAGGTCCATTTTGAATGAGTTTTTAAGAGCAGGATAGAGAATTCACTCAGGTGAACCGTTTTTTCTTTCTTTCTTTTTCAAAGTCTTTGTTGTGAATTGAATAAAAGTTTACATTGGAACCCTGGTGGTGTTTACATTGGAACACCTGGTGGTGCTGTGGGTTAGGCATTGGGCTGTTAATCACAGGTCAGCAGTTCCAACCCACCAGCTGTTCGTCAAGAGCAAAGCTGTCTGCTCCTGTAAGCATTTACAGTCTCTGAACCTGTATCTAGGGTTGCCATGAATCAGAGTCTACCGATGACAATAGGCTTGTTTTTGGGTTTTATATACTATTGGACAGTATATCTTTCTGATAACAGAAAACGTCAGGAGTCCAATCTTAACAAAAGTAAGAATAACATAAGTGGAATAACTAAACACATGAAATATCACAATTTTCTGAACTACATGATAATTCTGAGCCTCATCTTTTCTCTGCTAGCTGCCTTTCAGCATCTGCTATGACCACTCCTTACCTGATTTCTTGCTGAGACTGAATGCAGTTGAAAGGAAATACACTTGGGTAAGGGAGACTGAAGCCTAAGATGAAATGGAAAAGGTTAGGAAACCTACCCTCGGAGCTGTCGCTCATCCTCCCAGTTCATCCTAACGCACGTGCCCTTCCGTACTCTACCTCTTCTCAGACTACCCTGGCCTTTCCACTTTCCCCCTATTTCAGCCTCTGTTTAGGATGCTGATGTCAGCTGCATTTGTTCTAAACTTTTCTGCTTATGGAATACTGCAGAGTCAGCGCAGTAGCAGTAGCCCCATTTCTTTAATAGGATCATGAACCACACACTTCAAAGTTCCACTGCCATGTCTAAGAAAGTAGATCTCATAATCCAGAACCAAGGAGAAGGCTGTGTCTTTTTCCCCCCTGACTTTTTCCTTCTCCCAGAGTTTTCTACCCATACTATTAATTTAGAAGTTATTAGCTAGCATCTTAGTAGACACTTGACTGAGGATATGAGTTTGCAGGAATGAGTCAGGCTGAAATGAGGAGAGGTGTGCTGGAGGCATTTCTACCTCTTTCATCTTCTTGGCCTAGGATTTGCCTTTGATGACTGAAAACTCCTTCTTGTTGTTGTTAGGTGCCATCGAGTCAGTTCTGACTCATAGCGAATCTGTACAGCATTTCCGAGGAGCAGGTAGGTTTGAACTCCTGACGATGTGGTTCACAGTCCAGTGCTGATCCTACAGCACCACACCAGAAATCCTAGGAGGTGGGAAAGTCATGAGAATGAAAAGTTTAGATGAGTGAAACTGTCACCAGTAATCTAAGATTCTTTAGAGCTAGTGAAATTTTGGGAGTCTAAAAAGCATGACTAATGAGTCAATTTAAGACTGTCTAATGAATCAATTTAATTTAACGAATACCCATATAATATGCTTAGGTATCTTGCCAAGTGGAAGGAAATCGCAACAAGCAACTCTTCAGCTAACTTCAAAGGTAGGTGATTTTTAGCAATACTTATGTGAAATTCTTGTGAACAAAAATAAAATATTAATGGTGGTGAGGTAATTTGGAAGAGGAAATTGGTGATGATTTTATATGATGGATGTAATCAGTGTCAATAAATTATACATGTAAAAAATGTTGAATTACCAAGTGTTTTTTTATATATATTTTGCCACAGTAAAAAAAAAAAAATGGTGAGGAATATGATACAGCCTGCAGATTTAGACATTTCCAAGCATCTCATATTTCAGCACCCTGTGTAGACGTTTAAATATAGATGAATTTTCCAAGTCATTTTTGACTTTCTATGTGGTATTGCTATTTGGGAATACAAGAAAAATTTCTATTTTATTTAGCATTAGATGAACTTTTTAATGAATCCTTTTTTGAAAAAAAGTTATTTACCTCATGGTTTCAGTAATAATTTTACATGCACAAATGTCACTTAGCAAAGTAAATGCCTCAAAATATTGGAAACATTTTTGTTTTATGCTATTATTTTCTTCCGTCAGTGGTTAGCAAAACAGAAAAGATGAACATGATACCATATCACATACCAGAAATATCAGTGATTCCAATGTAGCCAAACCCTGCATATGGCTATTGTATACTCTGAGTGTATGAGTTCTGTCGGAGATGTTACAATTGTGGTCTTGCTTCAGAAGACCTGGGTTTGATTTTTGGCTGTGCTACTTACTAGCTATATGCTCTTGGGCAAGTTATTCTCTTGGTTTCATTTGTAAAATGGAAATAACAATATCTACTATCTTAGTTTAAGGACCTCTGGTGGCGTAATGGTTTCAAATTGGGCAGCTAACCTCAAGGCCGGCAGTTCAAAACTACCAGCTGTTCCACGGGAGAAAGATGAGGCTTTCTGTTCCTATAACGATTTACAGCCTCGGAAACCCTGTGCAGGGTCACTATGAGTCTGAACTGATGCCACGGTACTTAACAACAACTGTCTTTGTTTACCTGGTTGATCCTGCCAGTAGCATATGCTTGTCTCAAAGATTAAGTCTTGCATGTCTAAGTGAGCACTACAGGTACACACAGTGGGTCACTAAATCAGTTATGGTTTCTTTATGGTTGCTTGCTCCTCTCCTACTTGTGTAATTGTGGTAATTCTAGAGCTAGTACACGCTGACTGGCACTGCCCCCATTGGAGTTCTGCTGTGGCGCTGCGGGTTAATGCGCTGGACTTCAAGGTGGGTTTGAACTGTAAGGTCAGCGGTTCAAACTCACCAGCTGCTCTTCTGAAACCATATTCAGACTTGCTATGAGTCAGAAATGACTTGATGGCACTTAACAACAACTATCTTAGTTTCCGGAGTCCTGGTCTGGCGCTGTGGGTTAATGCACTTGAAGGCACTTAACAACAACAGCAATGTTCATCTCTGAGTGCTGCCCTTACAGGAAGTATCACAAGTGGGTGTGGCTTTCACAGACAGATAGGAGTTTTCTCAGTGTTTGGAAGGCACAAATATGAATTCAGGGCACCAGCTCTGGAGAAGTGTCTCTGCTCTGGAGGAAAATCCTTGTCTTAGTGTCTGTAACCCTGAGGTCCCTTAGTTGCTAGGCAGTCTCCATGTGGCATCTATCATTTGTGCTTGCTTATTTCTGTGCTTTATCTAGGGCTCCTGGTGGCACTGTGGGATAAGCACTGGATTGCTAACCATCAGGTTGGTGGTTCAAACCCACCAGCTGCTCCATGGAGGAACGATGAGGCATCTGCCTTTATAAAGATTTACGGTCTTAGAAACCCTATATAGGATCACCATGAGTTAGAATAAAGTTGATGAAAGTGGGTTTTGGCTTGTGGTTTAATCTGCTCTTTTAAAATCTCACACCCTATCCTGATATGACCTCATTTACATAACAAAGAAAACCCAATTACTAAACAAGATTAAATCCACAAGTATAGGGGTTAGGATCCCAGTGCCTACTTTTTGTTGTTAAGTACCATGGAGTCAGATCTGACTCATAGTGACCCTGTACAGGGTTTCTCAGGCTGTAAATCTTTACGGGAGCAGAAAGCCTCATCTTTCTCCCACAGAACAGCTGGTAGTTTTGAACTGCTGACCTTGAGATTAGCAGCCCGATTCGTAACTACTCCAGTACCGGAACTCCTTAGTGCCTACTTTGGGAGGGCACAATTCAATCCATAGGTTTTTGTGAGTGAGTTAGAAGTAATACATGTAAAGTCCTGATTAAATGCCTGACACATAATACCCAACACATGTAGTAGCCATCATTAGCAGTAACTGACCTACTTCCTTCCAGCTCATTGACAACAGCACACAGAGCTGCCACCACCTCTCCATAGATGCGCGCGCGCACACACACACACACACACACACACACACGGGCTCCACACATGGGCTCCAGGGCATTGTCACCCAACAGCCAGGGGTCTTTTAAAAATGTAAATCAGCTCAGACACTCCCTGATTTCAAAACACTTCAATTTATTTAACAAAGTTATTTTTAGCAATTTCTATGTGGAAGTACTGTCCTAAAGGAGCCCTGGTGGCACTGTGGGCTAGGCAGTGGGTGTCTAACTGCATGGTCAGCAGTACAAACCCACCAACTGTTGCTGATGAGAAACATGGTGCTGTCTGCTGTGTCCCATAAGGTTGCTGAGTCAGGTTTGGCTTGGTATTTTACAGTACAAAGGGAGAGGCTAAGTAACTTGCTCAAGGACACACGGTCAGTACTGTCAGGGAGCTAGCTCTGTAACTCAGATTCTTAACCATGACTCTGTTGCTTCTCAGAATTTGCAGTGCTTTATCATGGTCTTCCGGATCTGACTCTGCTCTATCTTTCCAACACCCTCATGTTCCACTCTCACCCTAACTCAGAGAAATCCAACACCAGTGGCTATTTGCCTTTGCCTCAAACACTCCAAACTGTTTCTATTTCAATAAGCGGCTCCATGGTATTTAACAACAACAATAATGGAGTTTATCAACTTCAGAGAAGTTTCAGATAACTGTCTTTGCTTAGAGGCCAGGGAGTTATTGTTTTTGTTCACTACTAAATTCGCAATTTGGGAACACTGGTGGAATGTTAACCTTAGGGTCAGCAGTTTGAATCCAGCACCCACTCCACAGGAGACCTAGGAGGCTTTCTGTTCCTGTAGAGGTTTACAGCTTGGAAACCCTATACAGGGTTGCTGTGAGTCTGAACTGACTCGATGGTACACAGCAATAAACAACAAATTCCCAATGTATAGCACATAGTAGTTCTCAATGCAGATAAAAGGATATAAAGGAGTGACAGGCACAAAAATGTAAGCAGAGCACATAAATTACTGATTTGAAAGGAGTGACTGTACAAAGAGACTTCTGGTTTGGTGCTGTAGGATAAGCGCAGACTGCAGGGTCGGCAGTTCAAATTCACCAGTTGCTCCTTGAAAGTCCTATATTGGGTTGCTATGAGTCAGAAGCATTGACTGTACTTAACAACTGTAAAAAGGGAGCCCTGGTGGTGCTGTAGTTAAGCATTCAGCTGCTAACTGAAAGGACAGTGGTTTGAAACTAGCTGCTCCATGGGACAAAGATGTGGCAACTTGCATCCATAAAAATAACAGCCTTGGAAACCGTATGGGGCAGTTCTACTCTGTCCTACAGGGTGGCTGTGAGTTGGAATCACCTCAGCGGCGATGGATTGGTTGTTCGGTACTGTGAAAAGGAAGAAAGATGTAGGATGGGCATTGGAAGGAGCTTAATCACAAGAATTGTTTTAAGTAATGGAGGACATCATTATCATCAGTGCCACTGGAAGGTAATGATGATGTTGGCATTGGGAAAGAGAATGGGTGCCCCTTCTTCATGAAGCAGGAGATCAAATCCCAAGCAGATCTGAAAACTTCAGCTCTTAACATGCACCATCACAATGAACTCTCACAAATATCCAAGGAGGTAGGTACCATTATTATTCCTGTCTTATGGGTTAGGACGTGGAGACTTACAGAAGTAACTTGCCCTTGGTTACATAGCTAGAGTCAATTCTTAAACCCTCTCTGCAGCCTTTCATAGTGAAGAATATTTTAGGAGCATAATTGATAAAGCAGGATATACAGATATCTGCCATAAAACTCATTACAAGGAATGTGGACTAAACCTTTCCTGAAACATAGGGTAGTGAATGAGCTTCTCTTTTGTTACATCTGGCATGTAATTGTTTTTCATTCCTCTCAGGCTTCAGGTTTGAACAAGCACAACAAAATATATATGAATATGAAGATAAATCAGAAAATCAGATGGAAATACCAGATTCATACGACAATACTTACGGAAGATCACATTTTCCTACAGTAACGCCTGAATCCACTTACGGAATGTAAAAGCACAGGACTTTGTATTTCATCCTGACCCTTTCAAGCCCTGCATTTAGCAGTTATAAGCAAGACATAGTTTATTTTGACTGGAATGACTTGTATATTTTTGGCACAGAACCTAGCCCAATTAAAAGTAAGGAAGATTGAGCAAAAATAGACTGTGGAATTCAGTAGAGTGGTTATGGGAAATGTAGAACTTAGCCATGCTGTTCTGAAAAACTAGTTTTTTTAAAGTCATACTTAAATAAAGTTATGACTCAGGTGCAAAAGATGTTCAGAGTGATCACTTTCTTCTTTCTTTGATGTATTTAGTGCATTATGTAAGACACAGCTGTTTTTCCTACTTATCCCATATATACAATGTGCCTTGCCTCTCTCGTTGCCATATCTTTTCATTTTCCCACTTTTCTCCACTGTGCCCTTTTTTTTTCCTCTTCTTGATTTTCTGACTGCTTAGCCAATTTTTAGGAGCTCGTGTGGTGCTATAGCACTGCACTACTAACCACAAGTTTGGCAGTTCAAACCCATCAGGTGATCCATACGAACGAGTATGATGAGGCTCCTATAAAAATGTACAGCCTCAGAAACCCTATACAGTAACTAGGAATCAGAATCAATGGAATGGCACTGGGTTTGGTTTTTGTTTGATGCTCAACTTTGTTTTTGATGTTGTTATGTGCCGTGGAGTCAGGTCCGACTCATAGCGACCCTGTATAGGGTTTCCAAGGCCGTAAATCTTTATGGGAGCAGAAAGCCTCCTCTTTCTCCCGCAGAACAGCTGGTAGTTTTGAACTGCTGACCTTGTGGTTCGCAGCCCAATTCTTAACCACTTTGCTGCCAGAGCTCCTTGATACTCAACTTTACCTTCTTCAATTTCTCTCCTAGTCATTATTTAACCTGCTTGTTTAATAGTTAATTTTCCTCTTTTAATATACTCTTTATGTAAGGGGGCTTCAAACTGTTGATGAAAAACTAGAATTAAAAGATTAGAATATTTCCATGAACTTTCTGAAGGTCCCTCGTATTTCCTTGTTTACATTTCTCTCCTTCCTTGCTTTCATACATATTCTTCTTTCCTTCTTCCATTTTCCCTTCCGGATTCTTCCCCTAACCACAGTTCTTTTGGAGCCCTACAATTTGACTTCTCACAAAAACAGTGAGGTAGACGCTATTATCAACTTTGTTTTACAGATGAGGAAACATAGAAGTAACTTGCCCCCAATTACACAGCCAGTAATGAAAAAAACAAAAAACAAACACAAAATACACCCACTGCCATTGATTCCTACTCATAGAGATGCTATAAAACAGAGCACTGCCCCAAGTATATCCAAGATTGCAAATCATCATGGAAGCAGACTGCCACATTTCTCCTGTGGAGCAGCTGGTGAGTTCAAACTGCCAATCTTTTAGTTAACAGCCAAGCACTTCAACCTCTGTGCCACCAGGATGCCAACCTTGCTAGTAATTAGTAGAGTCACATCTCATTCCTACTTTGTACCCAATACAACTCTTGAGATTCTTATTTCCTGTCTCTAGGTAGGGAAGAGTGAATTATTATTGTTGTATAATAAATTACCCCAAACATGTAGCATCTAAAGCAACAAACATTATATCATAGTTTCTGAAGGTCAGAATTCCCTGAGTGACTACAAGGCAGCTAATTATTTATTACAGCCTTCTAGCCATATTCCTCCATTCTGTGATGTATTTTAAATCCTAGCCTCCAGACCTGTGATTTTGGGCCCATTTTGAAGTGAGCTGTTAAAGAGACGAGGTGGGATTAAGGTGGAATTTAAGAATTGGTGTGGCGCTGCAGGATAATGTACTAGACTGTATAGTCGGTTTGAATCACAAGGTCGCTGTTCAAACCCACTATCTGCTGCTTGGAAACCCAATCACAGGGTCACTATGAGTCAGAACAAACTCAACAGCACTTAACAAGAAGTTATCCAGTGGTTCCTCAGAAACCCTATACAGGATTGCTGAGTTGGAACAGACTCGACAGTACATAACAATAACAACTTACTAGAGGGGTGACTCAAGTCATGGCCCTTAGTTTTCCTTGGGGACATGATCTGAACCCAGTATGTAAGAGTGTTTTGGCAAAGATCACTTTCTTGCTCTGGCTCCTGCATCTGACTCATCCTATTCAACCTCCTGTTTGTTGGACTCATGACCTACCACCTGGCCTGATTAACTAGTTCCTGCAGCCATGTGCATCAACAACCTGTCATCTGACCTGCTGATTTTTAGCTCTTGAGACTATGTGGGTGAGGAGAGTCCTCCAGAATGACCTCTAAACTATGGATTTACGACTTGCCAGTCTCCAAAATCGTGTGAGCCATTTTCTTGACAGTTTTTTGAGTTCCATGAGACATTGTAGTGTATTGCAGCTTCACTGGGTTTGCCGTAGCGAACCCAGGCTAAGACACATGGCTTGCAAACTTCACATCTAGTATAGAGCTTCCAGATTTTAGGAAGGTCAACAAGATCACTTTCTAGGTTCTAACAAAGAGCATTCATTTGCTTTTTTTTGTCATGGGGTAATTAAAACAAACAAACACCAAAAAAAACCGGTCAGAACATTTAGACTGAGCTGCAACCCAACAAGCAGGCTGGCTCTGTCACGTTCACACTGCATTTTAAGTTGGCCATTGCCTGCCGTCTGTGTGCTGTCTCCACACCATGCCTGGCACAGGACAACACAACTAACTGAATAAAACAAATGAGTCTTCAGAGACACTCTTTTAGAATTATTTATTCAAAGTGCATTTACAGTGAATTCAGGTAACACTGTAGGCAATACATTCAACAATATTAAAATAAATCAATATAAAATACACAATTTCATTAAGGTGCAATTAAAAATGTGAAATGACACATAATTGTATTTGAAGTGCACATACTAGTTTCTTAAAAGAATAGCCTTCAAAATGTTAAAAATTTAAATATGGTCTAAAGATAATAAGCTCTCTGGTAGCGTAGTGGTTACGAATCGGGCTGCGAATCTTAAGGTCAGTGGTTCGAAACTACCAGCCGCTCCGCGGGAGAAAGATGAGGCTTTCTACTCCCGTAAACCCTGTACAGGGTCGCTATGGGTCGGAACCGACTCGATGGCACTTAACAACAACAACAAAAAAAGATAATAGAGAAGAAAAATTTTTTGTCATCTTAACGTTTAAAACAGGCTATTTTATAATGACCATGGATTCATGTACCTACTGGTTTTAAGAAATTAAGCATGGGCTCAGAATCTACAACCCAAAATATAAAGTCACCCTCGGGTAGCGGAGTAACATCCTCATTATCTTCCTTAGTCTTTATTTTCTCCAAACTCTTAGCCACCTCTCTCCCCCAACCAGGCACAGATGAGAAATTTGATACGAAAAACTAATTTCATACAAAACTCCAACTAATCTAGAAGCATCTTAAGAAAGCCATTTGTGGTCTGTAGGTGATGACAAAAGATTCAAGAATATAATTTTCTATGTAATAGCTCCCACAGATAGCTTTTTAAAAATAGCATAGTCCAAGTGCAGGCAGTTCATTCATTCTTATGGTCCTTCTAGTCAAATTTCTCCATTCTGTGATGTACTGTAAATCCTTGTCTCTGTGCCTATAATCACAGACTCATTTTGAAGTGAGCTGCTAAGGAGTAAAAACTTCTGGTGTAGTGCCGAAGGATCAGCACTGGACTTTGAACCACAAGGTTGGCAGTTCAAATCCACTAGGTGTTCCTCAGAAACTCCATACAGGGTCCTTATGAGTTGGAACCAACTCAACAGCGTTTAACAACAAAGATTAAGGTGTGGTTAAGGAGTAAGGATTACAGTGGAATTAAGGAGTAAGGATGCCCCCCCCCGCCTTACTAGAAGCTGTGACTCAAGTCACCACCCTTAGTTTCCCTTGGGGATATGGTCTGACTCCAATTTATAGGACTGCGTTGGAAAAATTCACTCTCTTGCCCTGGATCTTGCATGTAGCTCATTATGTCTGACCTCCAGTTTGTGGGACTTTTAGCCTGACCTGAACTGACCTGATTCAGCAGCTCCTGCGGCCTGATGCATCAAGTGTCTGCCATCTACCTTGCAGATCTGGGTTCCTCAGCTCCTGAGACTAACTACATGGGTGAGAAGATTCCTCCAGACTGATCTCTGCATTATGGATTTAGGACTTGCCAGCCTTCACAATTGTGTGAGCCATTATAGTTTTCACAGCTGTGAATTTTGTGAAGCACTGCAGTGTGTTTCAGAACCCTGGGACTTGAGGAAGGGGTGGAGTGGTAATTGGTATCAAGAACTATGGAGTGGAACATGTTAAAAAAATTGGACATTGGGATATCTTTAACTTCCAACTCATAGGGACCAGTCTTGTGCTTCTCTTGTTTAAATAAATTATTCTTGTACTAACATTTTTGGAGACCCAAAGAGCACTGAATGCATCATAGATTTCAGTACTAGCTGGTAACCAGTCTATCAATAATATTTTTGCGGTCAAAAGACAACACACACTGGGATGGTCTGACCAGCAAAAGCACAGTGGGAAGACTGTTATATTCCTTAATCTGAATACAACTGTTCACGCAGTCTACAATTTATTACCTCTTCAAATAGCTCTTCTACTTGGTTTTCATCGACCTAGTAGCGGTCAATTGACAGTGAATTCTAGATTCTTTTCACTTGAAATAACCTCAAATTAGAAACAGTCTACATTAAACTTGTACTTTCAATTCACTATCTTGTAGGCTTGTATTACCTAATTTCTCCTGCTGTAAAATGGGATAATAATCTTGTAAGGTTTTGTTGTAATGACTAGAGATACTGCAGATAATGCATGCCAGGTACTCAATATACAGCAAAGAAGCTATGATTAATTATTTTTTTTAAACCCAGCAATCCCTCATGTGTTCCTGGTAAATGTCTGTCTTACTCATTTCTAAACAGTGTTCCAGCTAGCCAAAATCCTTATGAATCTTAACTGGCATTCTATTCCTTTTAGGCTTGTTATGTGCAAACCTGGTGTGACTTGTCTAAATTGTGATAAGAAAGTTGACATTAGACAGGAGCTCTATGGTATGCCATTCAAGGTTAGAGGGTGGATTCATGAATGAGCTGTTGTTACTCAAACCTCTCTGAATGCAGCAAGTAGCTAGAATTAGCTACAAACTCATTTACCTATACCAGCGCTGTGGGTTAATGCGCTGGACTGCAAGGTTGGCGCGAACCTCAAGGTCGGTGGTTCAAGCTTACCAGTGGCTCCTTGGAAACCCTACACAGGGTTGCTATGAGTTGGAAACAACTCGACAGCACTTAACAACAACAACAACAATCATCCAGCTGATAATTTCCCATTCTATCCATGAAGATGTCTAGGCTTTCTTTCTTGTTTTTTCTTAAAAGTATTCTCAGTTTACTGCATTTTCTTATTAACTATAGTAACAAAATTTCCAGCATATGAAAAATATTCATTTAGATAGCTAATAAGAAAAGGATAAATCAAGATCATTTTTGAAAATTTAAAATATAAAATGATTTAAACAAGTTTTCCTGAAAACACACCTAGAAATTTATCATCAAGAAGTTCTGGCAATTGTGAGGGATGGGAAGTGGCAGTGAAAGTGAGAAGATCGGTGTGAGTGAGTCCTTGCCATTGCCAGTAGAAAGAAATGCCAACCCTTGACAATAAACATGTATTTCAGTAACCTTTAAAGTACAAATTATAAGGAAGGCTCATTCATCCGTTTTTTTAATCTCTGCAAAATTGTTATTTTTCTTGGATAGAAAAGGATTCTATGTACTAATACACCAAAATATTTATTAGTAAACAAGCTTTACTTGTTTATTTGATGAGAGTATGGGGGCAGGAAAACACATCAATTTCTAGCTACATATCAGACTAGATAACCTAAATACTCCCCTTCCAAAAAAGCCCATATATATGTTACAAGTACTTTTTAAAATGGTCTATGGAATTATAGGAAAGTAAGGGAAATCCTAAGGCTAAAAATAAAGGAAATTGAAATCAGAGAAGTAAATTGAAAAGTGAGCTGATGTTGTTGTCTTGAGACAATGTGCCAATCTCATTACCCTATGAGTTTCTGCTTTAACATCTACCTGGGGACAGATGAAACCTTGGAATTGCACAAGGCGAGCGCAGAAGTTAAATGCACCTCCCCACCCACCCCTGCTATAAAGGTAAGAAACCTGAAGGCTTACACCCTCAGTGAAAGGGCAATCAACAGAACGTACTGTCCACTAGCATAGGGAGATGGCAAGACTGTGTGTCTGCATTGGCCTGGAAAGACCTCCTCCTCTAGCAACCTTTTATCAAAGATCTGCTCTTAGGAGATTTGAATTTCTAATTCATACTACTCCTGAGGCCTGGATACCTTAAAGCCAAGATATTAAAAGAGCAGGTATATGACACAGCAGACACAAAGCTTACTTGGAAGGAATTACTCAAGATTTCCATACAAAACCAGCTGAAAATAAGCTCACATTTCAAAATTACAAAATACATGTGTAACCAGTCCATCAAATGCAAGAATCAACAGATTAAAATGGTAGGATTAAACCCCTGAACACATCATTTGATAGAGCAACTAAAAAACATGGATAAATATGCTTAAAATGTGACACAAATGAAGGAACTGAAAAGCTAAAGCTAGACATCAGAAACAAGTAATAGGCAGATCTGAAGAATGATACATAGCTAGAAATTCAAAGAACACACTTTGGACAAAGAAATCCAATACATTAGTTAAAAGGGGTATTATGTACAGCTGAAGACACAATTTATGAAGTAGAAGACAGATAAATGCATGAACAGAATCACAGACAGATGAAGTAAAGAAAAATAGAAGGCCTTAACATTTCAAAAAAGAATAGAATAAGAAGGTGTCAGAAATTTGTTCAGAAATTTGTTCTTTATAATAACTTGTTTATAACTTGATTATTAACTATGCTGAGTGATCTTGCTACTGAAATCCAAACATATTTCTGAAATACTATGAGTTTCAACATTATTTCTTATTAATATAGGTGATTAATATAATATGATACAAAGTAGATGGTTATAATCTTCAAGTTCCCCCTCTGTTTTATATTTAATATAAAAAAATTTATTGTTCATATGTGATATGTGGAGAACAGTTTAATTAAAAGCCACCTCAAAACCAGCAGTATATTTACTTGCTTTGATTGAAACTAAAGAAAAAAAATTGTCACTGATATGTCTGCACTCCTCCTACCACTGTTTGCAGCTAATATATGTCAGTGATTCTCCTGAGAATGATACAAATATACATTTAAGAAGAAATAGAAAAGCTTAGTCTAGCAGCACAACATGAATGAAAACTACTAAAGTATGAGAGAAGAAACACTCTTTGAGACTATCCAAGTATCCTGGGTAGTTTTAAAATACTATGCATTGTTGAAAAAAAGAACAGTTCATTAGTTAAATATTAATACCTGCTGCAGGTTCAAAGTATATGGGTGGCTTTTAAAATAAGGTCAAAATAGAATTCCTAAATGGTGGAACTGAAGGGTAATTCATACCCAGGCTTTCCATCCTGGGAAAAGTCGGCTGAGATTTTTGGGATCCATGGCCTGCTGTATGAGCAAATTCACCTGTCCACCCACACTGAGCACAGTTCCTTCCTCCACTCCTTTCAGCTTCTCTTGCAGTCTCATCAAGACACGTTCTGCTACTTTGTTGAAACTCTGGTCAATATCACTATTGATAAAAACACAAATGTTTCAATGATGTGGAACAATTAAAAGGACTCTGGAAATAAGAAAACTATTGACAATAGGTCCGTCCTAAAATACTGCTCACCTGAGATTTCGTTTGCATTCTTGGTCATCTGTATTCAGAGAGGAGTTGAGTTCAGTTTCATCTTCTGGTCTCTGCTGTAAATACAAAGCTTTCAAAGGATTCATGGTCCAGTCAAAGAGAGGATCATATAGGAGGACCTAAATAGAGAGAACATATTTAAGAACAATGTGTGTCTTGAAGATGTGTTTAGAAAAGAGAGGACCACCACTATTATAAAATAAGAGAGGTCATTCACATGATAATTTACTGGTAGTTGGGAGACCGTGTCACATGTGCCTCATAGTTCCTTGTGAAGGGAACTATACTAGTGGAATGTTCTGGGCTTCTTACCTCATCCTACATTCATTCTTCCATGGCTGGTGAGCAACATTCTTTGGTCCATGTTTCCTGACTAGGTGAACCAATTCTATTAAGAGGACCTACTAATCACTTTCCTTCCTTCTTTCTTTGCTCTTGACTAGGAAGGCTGGGGTAAAGGCATCTGCTTTGCAGGCCCCAATTCTCTCTCAAGTGGACTTTTCTGAAGATATAGAATGTTGTTGTTGTTAAGTGTCGTTGAGTCGATTCCGACCCATAGCGACCTTGTATAGGGTTTGCAAGGAACAGCTGGTGAGCTCGAACCACCGACCTTTGCAGTTCAAATAACTTTGCAGACTGACGCATTATAGCCCACAGCGCCACAAGGTATAGAACAGGTAGTGGGAACTGGAGAGTATTAACCTATTGGAACCTCACTCCTAAGCCATATTCTACACAAGTCTCTTACTGAAAACCCTGAGATCTGGTACCATGGTTGAGGTTTGAGATGGACCTAAGGATCTGGTTACCAAAATAACTGGTATGGCCCAAACAAGTAAGCTTGCAGTCTCAAATGCTAGTAAGTGAGGTCACTGGGGGTGGGATTTCTGACTGGAAACTCAGAACAGCTAACTGCCCCTGGTGTTTTGACTTTTTTAGTTCTTTAATAGTCAGGTTTTAGGTAAAGTTCATCATATTACTGGGAAGAGTGATTCTGTAGGGTACCCCAGCATCATAAGGGTGAAACTTTTTTTTTTTTGCTGCTGCTGCTGCTTTTATTGGATTTCTCAGTTAAGTCTGCAGGCTATGACTATAAAATGTCTTTAGCATAACATTTAAAAATTCAGACCTTGCCAGATCTCCTCTGAGGGACAAAACTGCTCTTAGTTAAGAATCACTTAGTTAGAGGTAATAAAATATTTCCTTAATAGAATGGATGAGCTCTTGGAGGGTAGAATGGCCCATTATGATGAAGAAAATGAGATCTTGAAGGCCATGAGAGAAAAATAAATTGGAGGGGGAAAGTACTCACGCCAAAATGCTTTTAAAGAAGAAATTAGGAAATGGGAACATACTTGAATTGTTAGTGTATCAGATCCAGTGAGTGTTGCTCAATGAAATCTAACACAAAAAAAGAATCCAAGCGAGGAGACTAGGATGGCATTCCTAGGGACTGCGGCCTATTGAGACAATTTGAAGACAATCTGAAAACAAACTCCACAGTAAGATCAATCGAGGAACCATTCTTAAAGATTGAGAGAGCCATAAAAAATGATTCTATAGACTGGTGGAACTCCAAGTCTATGGCCCTTTGTCACTCCTCAGGTCTGGAACTAAATTAACTTCTGTGATTAAACCAAGCAATAGATAGGAATATAGGAATAACAACAATACTAACAAGGTACACACACCATTTGAGATAAAAAGGCAGCCTTTACCTAATGGCAAAACTCAGAAGGATGGGAAAAGAAGGAAGAGAAACAAAAATGCTCAGGAGAAAGCGGGTAAGTGATGTTACCTTAAGAGCAAGCATTGAACGAGAGATGAAGTGTTTGATTTGTTGAATATAAAACTAATGATCTGCTTTGTAAACCTTTACTCAAGTCACAATAAAAAGTTTTTAAAAATCCAAGAATATAGTAGAACATACAGGGGGCAGTTAAAGAGAATTTCTTAGCTGTAACCAGACAATTAGGAGGAATGAGTCACTGAGCCCTGGGGCTCAGGATCATAGACTGGGGGGAGTGGGGGAGCACCAGGCCAATTTGCATAATAGACTCAACAAAGACAGTGTTCTACAATCAACTTTGCTGAGTACTCACTGGGGTCTTATAAAAGCTTGCTTGTAAGCAGCATCTAAAGTGCAATTATTGCTCTCTCCCTGTCTGGAACCAAGAAAAGTGGTGGTGGGGGGTGAGGGGGAGAGAAGCACAGAAATAATTAGAAGAACTAGTGGTACGCACTTACCACTGCTGACTATTTTGAAAAGAATCACTAGGATGTCCTAGACAGAGTGGGAGAAAACTGTAGAACGAAACTCAAAATTATAAAAAGGCCTACACTTACTAGTGTGGTAGAGATTGGTTTTATTAGTAGTCTAATAAGACTACTGCTCTTATTAGTTACACTGGTCAGGCTGGAAATGGAACTCTCCCCACGACTCAACTTCCAACCAAACAACAGACAGACCTAGAAAGTGACTAATAACACCAAGGAGGTACATACTCCTTAGAACAATCAAAAATACCAGATCAAAGGTGCAGCATTTGTCCAGGGATAAAGCTCAGACGGCAGGAAAGGCTAGGAAAGGACAAAGGAAATGGTCAACACAGGGAAGAAGTCGGAAGAGTGTTAGTACATGGTGAGGATTTTATAAAGTGTCACAAATTGAAACGTGTATGTATTATTTAATGGGAAATCAATTTGCTTTGTAAACTTTCACTCAAATCACAATCAGTAACTAAAAAAATGATTCCAGGAAATTTTGGAAAATTTACAGAGGGAAGGTCAGGAACATCAGTGTAAAATATACAAATACGAACTAGAGAATAAGTTTAAAGTGACACAGTTAACGTAGATGGTGCTATGAGTCATTTCTCTGCTCAAAACTCTTCAAAAGCTTCCATGTCACTCAGAGTATAATCCAAAGTCCTTAAAATGGT